AATGACAGCAAATGATGCCAAATCACATAAATACAAGAAAAATATATAGTCCGAATTGGCAGTTTGGTGTATATAGAACATGAACGTATTACCAAATCTTTACTCGTGCGCCTAACTAATAGTCGAGTGTTAGTGTTGGTACTTGTCAAGATATTAAATCCATCCTTCGTGGATTTGAATCGTTTTTATACAAAATAGCAAGCATAAGCATGGACCCAAAGCAGCGTAGCATGTTGGAGAGTTTTGTACAACTCTGTAAGCACAACCCAGCTGTTTTACACTCGAAGGAATTGTCGTTTTTCCGAGAATGGATTGAAAGGTACAAACATCACGCACGTGAGAATTAACTAAACTTACCTCTGATAAAAAGTCTTTTAATGCCGAATTGGGTAAAAATGTATTGTATTCGATGCTTACGAAGTTCATAGTTGTGATTAATTGTGTGGATTTTAATTGGACTATACGATATTTTTGTTCATACTTGTACAATGTACTTTGCATTTTGCAAGGTTGTTTTTCTCTTCCTCTTGATTTACCAATCAACGAAGGAAAATCTCTATAAATTCGTTTAACACGTTAAGGATGCAGTAAAACAAATCTAAGAATCGTTAAAAATTGATAATTTTTAAATTTTGTGTAAATCATGCTCGATAATTTTGGCACAAATGCTTCAAAGCACGTGATTATAGACAAGTAACTGAATATAGTTTTTTACAAGGCTGAATCTTTTTTTATTATTACCTTTTATAGTATGGGAGCAAAGATTCCTCCAGCTCCTGAATCAACAACAGATAAACCATCCCAGCCGGAAGAAGAAAGAGATGAAGAAATGAAAGAAGAGGCAAAGAAGGTAAACAAATGAATGAAATGAGTGATGCACTTCTCAAACTGAAATGAGAGCTCAATCCGTTTTGGGGAAATTATAATTTTCATTTCAGTATTAGCAGCTATTTTTTGGTTGACAAGTATTAACCGATCTATCAAAGTAAGCCCCGTGGGGGGGGGGGGGGGGGGGGGGGGAGGGTGGGCAAAGAGTGGAGATTTGAGCACATTTGTTGTTTCCTCCCTCAGGCATTTGATAGTTTTTTAGGGATCAGTGGGAACGAATATGTGGTTACCTACCTCATTTGCATATCCACACGTTCGTCGCTTTGGTTCACTGGATAACAACACAGGTGATCGAGCTTATTTCAGTTTTGTTTTGTCTATTTTTACCATGTTAATGTATTATATTGTTCTAGAATCCGCTCAAAATCAATACTAGCTTTTTTCTTCTAAGCATTTACATATTCTTTGGATACGTTTTGATTTCAATAGTCGACAACCATGCAATTATGCTGTGTTTTATATCATTAATGTGCTACTACGACGAAAATCGCTCAAACTTGGATTCAGCTGAAACTTCCTAA